CCCCACGGCTGAAAGGGCGAACATGTTTGGTGGGGCTGGGATTCGAACCCGCGACCCTCTGATTGCGAGTCGAGCACCCTAACCACCTGGCCATGCCGGGCCTACCATGAGGGAACAATTGCAAATTGATAGATAAGTTGGAGCTCAAGTCAATATAAAACCATTTCACACATTATAATAATATACCTTTTTTTGACTTTCGAAAGCGCTGCCTTTATATGGTCATTTTTCATGGATGATGCCCCCAGTGGCACAGCGGTATGTCTGCGGACGTACAATGCTAGAAACCGGGTTTCGATACTCGTGGTGGGCAGAGCACAGATAGCCCTTTGTGTAGCTTTGTGCATAACTTAATAACAAACAAACAATCATGGATGATAACATCGTGTGAGGAGATTTGTGGTATATAATGCTTATGTATGAATGAAACCACTTTTATTTATTTCGTCTTAAAGCAAGCGCCCGCGACAACTATTATTGAGCGAACAAGATAGTGATTTGCACATTTTACCTTATTATATTATTAAAAACGTATTTTCATGTTAATTTTTATTCCACTTTATAAAGGTATGACTCGTTATATAAGGAAACTGTGAGAGATAGAGATGGATAGATGAGCACCGTTAGCCAATATATTACCTAAACAAATACATTTATAATATTAAATTATTTACGTTCCGTAAATGAAAATAGCGATATATTTTTAATTCTCCTAAAGTTTAGTGCATTGATACAATTTCAACTTAGAAATATCTCATTTTCAAATCTATCCATCAATCTGCAGGTATCCATAAAGTCTGGAGACATTGAGAAATGACCTAAAGTTGGTTTTTATTATGACCTAAATATATATATATACATTATATTAATTATGATCTAAATTTGTTTTATGATACGTAGAAATCTAAAAGGGTAAAGATGCCATTGGCGAAAGAAGAAAAGTATAATTGATACTGCTATGTGAACGTGAAGGATGGTCGTATCGAAAAGAAGCGTGTTCATGAACACCCTTGGCATCGCCTTCAAAAATCTATTGACGCAGAAAGAGAACACATTGAACAACTGTAGTTCCAATATACAACGTCTTTTTTAATTGCCCTATGTTTCCAGACTTTATGGACACCCTGTTTATATATAATATGCCTATGATATTTTCATGTTCACCTTTATTTTGTGTGGAAACGTCTGACGTCACGATTTGTTAGCATGTCGAATGCATGGTTTATGGGTAACAGACTGTTGTAAGCTATATTTTTAATAATGTATTTTAAATGTTTGTTAGAGGAGCTGTTAGTCATGATGATGCAATATCTAGAAAGCTCATTTCCGTGTAATAATTGCGAAGATTCGTGAAACAAGGTACGATATAAGTATGAGTAATAAATGACGAATAGTCCAGTTACTGAAGTATTCAATGAGTTTATGAGTTCAGTGTCAGAAGTTATTCAGTGTTAGAAATGATAATTATTGTGTTTATTATTTTATTTAGTTACTCTGTGAGTTACTTACTTCTGTATCTATCAATTAGATTAGGTGTATTTCTCGCAGTTTATATTGAAACGTTGTGTTTGAAGTCAGTTTAAACAATTAAGAAAAGGTAAAAGGAAAGATCCAGAAAATTAAAAGAACTAAATGAAAGAGAACATAAAAGTTAAATAACACGAAATTCAAAAGAACGAGAAGAAAGAGACAGGAAATTAAAAGAAGAAAGAAATAGAAAAATAGAAGAAAACCAAGAAGAAATTTATAGAAAATTAAAAGAGAAGTTAAAGAAAGATACGTAACAGTTAATGAAGAACTAAAAACAAAAATTAATCTGATTGACAAGTTTGAAGAAGTGCAAGAAGAATCCACGAAGTACAAAAAGACATCTATAATCTGTAGAAACTTTATAACAGCAAGATCAATGAGGTGGAAGAAAACATTTGAAAAAGGAATTGGTAAATGCAAAGATCAAACTAGCCATACCACTTTCACCATCCACTCAATAATTCCAAACTAAAGTCCAATAGAATATAATCCAAGATGGAACATCCACAAGCGATGATGAAGAACTAATGCTGTCCAGCACTCAAATGAAAGATGATCAGAAAAAAGACACGAGTTTGAAACCAATTACTTAGAGACAACAAGAATGGTGTAGAAAAACACCATCAAGTCAAAGTCACTCAATACAGCTCAAAGACGAAGGTGTATTAGGCACATTGGGATTTGTTATGCCTAAAATAGGGCTTATTATGTCAGATACGGGAAGATACCAGTAGAAAACAACTACATTTGGTACTTCCACAGTCTCTACATCTCACAGTATTCCATCTTCTTTAAAATCTGGACACTATGCACTAACGTGTTAAGAAAACATTGGAAAAAATAAGAGACTGCAGCTATTGGGTTGGATGCTAAGGATCTGTAAAGAATTTGTACAAATCATGGGAACTATGGCTATAAGTGAAAGGATCCATGAAAGAAACAGCATGAACAGCTACAGCAATATTTTGTCGGAACACCACTTGAAAGAGTTGTTTTCAATGTGCCTGGTACCCTGCCACAGAGTTACAGTGGGAATAAATACATCATGGTTGCAATGGATTATTTCACCATATGGCCAGAAGCTATATCAAGAAAACTCGTCAAAGAATTATTTTCAAGATTTTGGGTTCATTTAGAACTTCACTTAGATCAGGAATGAAACTTGTTATCATTAGTCTTGTTTGTGGAAATGTGTCAGTTCCTTAAAAACAAAAAGACTAGGATAACAGCCATTCATCCGTCTTCTGATGGCATAGTTGAAAAATACAACCATACACCTTTGAAACAATTAGTCATTTATGTGAAGAAACATTAGAAAACGTGGGATCTTGAGGGAAACTTAAAGCGCCATTACACATTTTGTACTTACATTCAGAAAATAGTCACTCATTAGAGTCCTACCCAGAATATGATGAAATATTAAGGAGCACCAATGAAGTAATAAATAACTTTACCCGGGAAAAACATAATCAGCTAATGATAAATTGGAAAGTTATTATGATGGTAATGGTAAGACTGGATTCCATCAAAGTGACATAGTATGCCTGCATAATACCTGCTATAAGAAAAGATACACCTCAAAGTTAAGCGGATGTTGGGATGTTCCATATCTTGTACTGAAAATAATCATTGACGAGGTTCATATGATCCAGAAGAATAGGTAGTCCAAGCCAAATGTGACTGTCTTTGGGAGTACATCAGTGGGAGAACACCAAACTAGGTAATTTCAGAGAAGAATTTGCTTGTGGAAAGTCGGCCTTTAGAAGAGCCCAGAAGTTCAGTGGAGACTACTTTCAGAATATTACAAAATACAGCCACCAGGGGATTTGTGTGACCACCAATCTAGGGATAGTCTCCATTGAAAGGACAGAAAGTGACAATAAAGGACTAGAAGTCATTCCATCTACTACCACAGAAATATCATAGGAGGGTGAGGGTGGACATGCGTGTAGGGGATGGTGCAGTCTCCTTAAAACAACCTGCAAAACTTTTAAGGTGAAACATTTAAAGTGTATTGCAAGAGCTTCAAGAAGAAAGCTCATTATGGATTGACGTTCAAAAATTTAGTCAAACTGCAGATGAACTTAATAATTGTTATTTTTTAGCAATTAGTGAGTTCAATACTAAATACTAATGATATATTAAATGGTCGCGGCAAAAATAATATTCAGAAAATAGTTTCATTATAGGTTCCCGATTTTTCCAACGAAACACACTTCACCAGAAGTCAAACTTGAATACACCACTGAGAATGTTAGAAACATATTATTTATAATTAAATTCCTCTTCGTGGATTTTTAAACCATGATGAATAGAATTTCCAAGAAGCTTAGAAAATAATGGGATTGAAAAAAAGAAAGATCAGAGCATTGTAAAAAAATAAAAGCTTGTAATTATATTCTAACCTTAAAATAAAATAACATCGTAGCTTTTTCTGTAAATTTCACTGTAACCTGGTATATTGTATATTAAACACTTAACACGTATGTTTCTTGCTTATTTTTTTCGGTTTGAAAGGCACTTCATTCAAATCAAAGCAGAAAATTAACATCAGTTGTAAATAAATCATCTAACCATTACATATATATTTCATTTTCAGCACATGCGCTAATTCAGGGGTAAATACTTTAACGCTAGAGTACACAAGATTTGGTGAAAAAAATGCGCTGCCATCTATTTTCAGTATTCAAAAATCGTGTGTAAACTTTTATGCACATTTCAACCTTTCCATACGCAGCACTTGAGTTGTGAAAGGAAATTAACAAAAAAGAACTGACGAAATGTACTTACATATGCATATTCTCACAATAAGGCATTTGGCAAAAAAAAAGTTTTTAACAAGGAAAACCGCGTTCTTTTCCGTTCATCCTTCAGTAGAGGCAGTACCTCAATATCTTTTTCACTCTAAGAGCTGATACCAGTATTTATGCTTATCATATTTCTGAGCTTTATATCTTCTATAATTTGTGACGTAAGTTTATATTGCACACAAAAAAATTGTTAGAACAAAACATCAATAATATAGTTTACAAATAATGCAAAAACTTTTTGTTTCTCAGACTGGACAACAACTAAGATACTATTACAGCAAGAATCGCCCCCCCCCCCCTCCCATTTATAACACTTAAAAATAAACTTAAAGTTATAACACTTAAAAAGTATTATGGAAATATATTCTGATTGCTGTAGCAGTGTTTGTCGATGTTTGTGTCTATAGTTATTACTTATCGTTATGAAAATATAAAGAAACAATGACACACCTTTATTCCATTCATGATTTTTCATCAGATGGCAGACAATTATAACGAATTCATTTGAAACGTAATTGAGTATACTTTTAACTACATTTCTTATAAATAAATGTATTATTGACACTGACCTTGTTCACACGTGTTTTAAGAATTAGATGATTATGCAAATACGCCACGTGCTACAAGAAATTATTATAAGATGAAAGTTCACGGCCGCTTAGTGGTGCTTCAAATAAGACGCGCGTAACCACTCGCTTTGTTGTTAGTTGGAAGGTTCTCGTTAATTTTGTTGTAAAAAGTTGCATGAAATAACATGAGTTCTAGAATAGAAAATGAAGGCGGAAATACTATTTTACATAAGTTAATGAAGCTACCTGTAGTTCGTTCGACCGTAGATGTCGTTCAAGAAACCTACATAAATATCAAACATAAGAACAAAGCTTTTGAACTATTTATAGGTGCGGCAGAATCTAGTGTTTGTCGAGTGACTTCAGGACTGTCGCCGTTAGCTCGCGTGGGGTTTGTTCGCGAGTCTTGTGAGTTCTTCTATTAATATTATCTTTCAATAAATTTTAAGTAAAAAGTTCATGTGATTGTACGACATGAAACTTAACATAATTAGTCTAAAAATACAATAATAGTTCTATGTAATTGAAAAGAAACTAAGTACGAGTTTTAATTGTAGTATGGAGTATCGCTGTCAGTTAAACTTTGATATTATGCGTGACTTTTATAAATTATATGTATAATACTACATACCAGCAATTTTAATTATATTATGAAAGCAAAACTGACTTCGTGCTTATGTTTTCTGTAAATCGTAGATCATAATTTAATGTGTACACGTGCCGGATAACTAATTATTAGTATTGCACCTATACTTGCACATAATCACGATTAAAGTAAGTAGTGAATTTTCGCACGAACAACATTGGTTCATGCAAGTTGTTTTGTGTTGCAATTTACATACTACAATGAATCTACACTAATTTGGTAACTGAAAAAAATGGCATATATATATATTTGTAGTAACGTATGTTGTGACCTAACCCGCGTTATATTTCCGCCATTTCCGAATAATACATTCTCAAATCGATTATAGTGGTATAGAAGGCACTGAATTAGTTGAGATGGTTGACTTTCCGAACTTTCACCTAATTTTTAAATTGTTTTCTTAGATCCATTAGGTGTATTGTGGTGATACCTCGAACTTGTACTAAAACTTAAGCTATTTTGTCAGAGCAACTTGTTAATAAAAATAAATTTAATAATCAGTGCTTAAAATGCTTTTATTTCTTGCTTATTAAACAATAAAGCTAAATGTAATCTAAAAAATTAAGTGTATTCTCGCGTTAACACTGTTATTATAATAATATTAGTATTAACAAAAAAAATTACGCCATTATTTTTGCATTACTTTTCTCTCAATCTAAGCATTGTATTAAATTTTTAATTGTGATTAAATGCGTATCTTTAAACTTAAGTATATTAAGATTATGGTATTACGTTCTTTCCACACAAATTTAAAATTTGATCTTTCATAAGGAACTTCATATTAATTTTTATTGCTGGGTAGTTTCATACTGAGTTAGATACGATTTTTTAGTGCAATTTCTTTAAACGTTTACCCTGAAATTCACCTTTAAGATAATTAAGTAGTGTTATTAGTATACTATTGTATAAATAAAACTAGTTAATTTCTCAAATACAATTAACCTTTAATCATAGCTTAATGACTTGCACCAGATATAATTTATAGTAGCCCACTTCTGTGATATTTCAAATACGCCTATACCTTCTGTATTAAATGGAGTTAATTGGCACAATCACTCCAAATGAGGCATTACCAGTTTTGTGCACTGTAACAATAACTTTGGCCTTAAATTAAAAACTGAGCCAAAAGCTACTTGCATTTTAGAACACTACTTATCACTTGGTAAATGTTCTTAGGGTTTTATCAATAACGGTAAAGCCTCAATTTAATTTTTGCACAACTCCACTGTCTCCTCAAATAAAGTTTTCCAAAATTCGTTACTCCAATTAGATAGGTATACGCTTTTCATAACTTTTAGTTGTGGACCATTCAATAAAATGGAGGTCCTTCTGGATAAGACTCATTTTAAGTTTTAAAATGAGTTCCATGAAGGACCTTACTGACCACATTCTTCCAGTAGGAAAAATACAAATTTATCACCTTACACAACTAAGCCAGTATTTCATCTCGATAATATTTTATACTAATTCCATATGCGTTGACCATGCTATTCACTCGAGGTAGCCTATGAACTTTGAACAGACGGAGCTAATCACTAAATCCGCCTCTGATCTCAGAAATATTCTTAAAACTCCTATAAAGTTGGAGCCTTTACCATTAAATCAGTAAATGGCAATTTATTCTAAAAATTCTTCACGCCATTGAAGAAATACAATTACCTTATATGGAATGTCCGACTTTTCATAAGACTTAAAGTTGACCTCTTGTCTGCGTTATTTTTGTCAATTTTCCTAATATCGAACACTTCAATTAACCTGATAATCATCGGTGTAAGAGAACTAAGTAAGGAAGTTTCAATCTATTTTCGTATGACAATTCATCTATCCCCGAGAATCATCGTGTATTTCTATAATGTGTGTGCGTGCGCCATTCCTAAGGTAAGAAGGACCAAAGTTGCCCACAGTACTTCAAATGGGGTTTTACTCCCTCTCCATTCAAAAAGGTAAGTTTACTAATAATTTATCTGGTAAGGTAAGAAAACTGCTCTCTTAGATATAATGGAGAAGTGGTGTGTGGCTGTAGTGATTGAGGGTTATGAGATGTGGCGCCATCTATTCAATAACACCACAAACAAAGACCCATAAAATTTCAGTTGGGTATTCAAGTTTCAGACAACTAAAAAAAAAAAATAATAATAATAAATAAATGGTATGTGCAACAACATTTTCTTTTATAATGGAACACAAATTTAAATAAAATTGCTCTCTTCACAACAAGAACCTGACTTAAACTAGAACTGTTCGTGAGGGTTTGGTTATATTTTTTATTGATGTAATTTTTAAATGTAGTTCTGAGCTGGAGTTCTTAAATTAAATAACAAATTATAACATTTGGAAATGTAGCTTGCAAAAATTCAAACGTGGTAATACCTTTTTTTAAACTTATTTTTCGAAGGTCTTTTTGTACTTCAGTTTGTGTACAAGTGTCCCTAACGCATAATTACTAACCATTATAGTTGTGGAAGCGACTACTCTCAAAGGTTCTGGTATTTCTGTAAGTTTCTTTCTTTAATGTTTTGAACTTGTTTTAATCTTTCATATTTTACCTGTCTCTAACAGTTCAATCTTAGCCACTCTGAACTTTTTACGTTAAGATTGCAGCTTTTCTCCAGAGGATAACGTTGAATTATGCCTATATTCTGGTAGTATTGTTTCACTGTAAATTAAAGGTGACCTTCACGTTGCTAGCCCAAATTTCCATGAGTATACAGAGGGATCATTGTACAATCTTGTGTATGATTGGTTAGAGAAAATTCATTTTTTTGTTCTTTGAAATCGTGATATTTGAGTCAATCTTGTCCCGATCGTTGCACAATTTGCCTTCCTGTATTATATAAAGCCCAGTTGAAATAGGTTAGTCAAATAAACAGTATTTTAAGTTCAACTATAATTTGATTCCTCCTATTGCACCATTTTTATTTCAACCACCATAAACATTATATGTAACACGCGCCAGTTCATATATTTAAACTACTAAGTCTTCATTATTCAAACATTGGTGACTTGCTACCAGTTATATTTTAGTGTTCCTGTAATAAGTGTAAAATGTAGTTATTGCGGTTATGACTTGTTCGCACATATCTATTTAATGATGCAACATAGTGTTACGTATCTGCTTGTTTGTTACTTTCCGGTATAAATTCTTTCCAAGGAACTTCAGCGATACAAGTCCTTTCTTAATTAAAACTAGTTTATTCTTTCTCGATACAACTTTGTAATGCACAGAATTTCCACAGTTACTTAACCTTTATAACACACGCTATAAATCAATGATTCACACACATTACTTGAGGTGCCTACTGTTCGCTTGACTCAATTATCTATCTCTTCGATCTATCTGCATATTTATCTATCGCTGGCTTTAGTTGCCGTGCTTATATACTAAAGAGGGCGCCTGGCAAACACTCGGACATTCACGGGGTTTCTCGATAATTCGTGATCCTTCGAGAAACTCCAGCGCGTATACTCCCAGCGTCGCGTGACTTCCGCTGTCGTAACAATAGTTAAAGCGATAATTGCAGTTATACCAACCACTTCTAAAAGTTAGTTGTTGTTAGCTGATAGGTCTGTATTCACAGTACTAATGGAACAATTTCACTTCAGTTGCTCTTCACTTTTTCTTATGTAAACAGCATTTCTGGAACTATTTTTCGTTGAAACTAACTCAATATTTACGAAACTAAAACAGACGAACTAGTTAACAACAACTTAATAGTCTGTGAAACACGAAATCAATCGCTTATTATACTATCATTCACGTCTTAATACGATCTAGATCCTTGTAAGGATTCTGGGAGGGTGAAGTTCTATATAATATTAATAATAATAAATAAATTTGATTAATTAACTTTCCACCCTCCTGTGCTGTTATGTGAACCTTCATACAGCGATGTTTACACCGTCGTGTCCGCTAGATGATTACATATGAGGGTTGTATATTATTAACTATCTTATGAATATATCAACATCTCAAGGCCATGGGCATTCATGTCTTGCATATAGCATTTTGTATATAATATAGTTCTCTCCGCTTGGGTTGTAGGTTTGTGGCAACTATGGATGGCGTTTGGGAGCTCTTCCACATTGCCACGTCATCTGCGAATTAGTGATATGGCTTGTGACATAGCTTGTTTCAGAATCTTGTTCTTTCCATGTAGTTATGTTATCGTGTACGTGGAAGGTGGGTGCGTATTGTATTGAGTGAGATGTTCATAAATATTATTAAAATAATAATTGTTCATGTCTGGATCGTTGTGACACACACACACACACACACACACACACACACACACACACACACACACACACACACACACACACACACACACACACAACGTAAGTAACTAGTACTATACGTACGTTACTTACGTTTACTTCCTTACCT